CCCGCCCGCCCCTCCCCCTGCCGCGTGTGCAAACACCGGGCGGCAGCCGCAGCACGGGGGGGGAGGGGGGGGGCGCTCGCGTCCCAGGCGCCAGGGATCTGCGCGGGAATCTGATAGTGCCGAGCTGTGCAGGGCTTGCCTAGCGCCCGGGGCCTGCAAGTGCTGGCAGCTGCCGGCGAGCTGACAGCGCCAGTGGGGCTTTGCTGAGCTGCCAGATGAGGAGTGTTGCTGACGATTGCAAGCTGTCACGCCATACTGTAGCATAGACAAGACCGACGCGCTGGTGGCAGGGTGCCACGCGACCATAGCAAGGGCACAGCTTGCCTTGGGAGATCGCCGTGGTGGCCGCCGCCGCCGCCGCCCCCAGGTGATTGTGGGCGTTGCTGAGCGGCAGTGTAGGCAGCGGTGATCTGTGAATATGGGCACAAGACGTGCGAGTCCTACGTATGCCTGCGGCGTGTGCAGCAGTGGTGAAGTGGCCAGTGTCCTGCCCCACATGGCACCACTTGCCCAGCTCTTGCCATTGTACATTGTTGCGATCACATTTATATTGCATTGCAATTTGCAATAATTGGCACACGATTTCCACGCTTTTCACGACGCTGCAGGTTTCACATGCCATGTGCGCACATGCACCCATGTGCCCCTCCGTTCGCGGCCAGGAGGGCTCATGCCCCTGTCATTAAAGCATTTTGAGCATCATAGGCCTGTTTGAGATGCTGCAGTCTCTGTGGCACATCTCGTGGAGTCAGAACGAACAGCACGCCGGCTGCGATTATAATCTGAGGCGGAGTTTGCGCGAGTACTCAGATACGTCTCAACAAAAGCCTTTTTTGAGCCAGTAGAGGCAAAAGTGCGCCTAGATCTCGTCGTGCGCAATGTGCTGCGGTGCGCCAGAGCAGCAGCGCATGTGCGCCGGCTAGGCTGAATGCAGTAGTGATCAGGACGACGGGTTTGCGGACCGTTCGCGCCTGCGGGTCACGAAATTCGATAGAAGGCAGTGTGCTGAACCCTCTCTGTCACTATTCACCAACTGCAACATGCATGTCGGCCTCCCAAACTCCAAGTTTCGGCTCCCCGCTCCGCCCAACAACCATGTTGCATTCCCTCACTGTCATGCGCAGGCGATCCCAAGCCCTTTTTCTGCGGACAAATTGCACGCTATGCCGTGAACGCGTCGGCGGCGGGTTGGGGTTGCCCCGCACCTGCCCCGCACGCACAGGCGCAGGTGAGTGGGGGTATGAATCCCGGTGCTGTGAGGTTCGCTGGCGCAATGCAGCACCGGGCGCCGGGCTTTGATTCCAGCGTAAATCTTCGATGCAATGGGCCCGCACGCTTGCGCGGCCGGGGCCCGCTACCGTGGCGTGTGTGCATGGGACCAGTCCTCGGCGCGCCTCAGCCCAAAGCCCCTCACCGCCGGCCGCCGCGGCGCTGCACACCAGGGGCGCGCCTGCCGCGCCGCTCCCTTACAATCGTAACGCTGCCTCGCGCGTGATGCGGGGGCATGGTGGGCATTGCACTGGCATGTGCCATTGCCGGCAGGGGTCGGCGCGGCACAATTCTGGGTGTGCTTGTCCAGACTGGGTGCCGGAAGCGCATGTGGTGCTGCACTTGAGCGCCTGCCCCTTGGGCGGCCTCAACTGATCGACAAAGGAGCAGTTGCAACGCGCGAGCGGCTGGTTTTCATACCACATCCGCAGCAATCGGTTCGGTTGACAGGCGGCCGTGCCGCACCCACACGTGTGTAGCCAGCAGATTGGGGGCCGCGCACCCATACAAGGGCACATTGTGTGACCACGCGGGGAGAGATGTTGCTAGGCATGTGCAGATGCGCGCAGTGGTGACAAGAGGGAGCTCTTCGCACCCTTGCCGATTGTACTGCGGGCCATGGCGGGGCGGCCCTCGGCTGTGCCGCAGCCCCCAGCTGCGGTCCAGCACGCAAAGCGCACTCTTGTCATGACGGCTACACCGCGGCAAGTGTGACGCCAGACTGGCACGCAGTTATAAATATAAATAGGGTCAAGGATCGCATTGGCATTGCAGGGAGCAGCCCGTGGTGCTGCGTGAGACTCGGGCCCCTGCGGCGGCGTTGACGCTGCTGACTGGGTGGCCCCTTCGGGAGCGTATTTTGGATGTTTTGCTGCTCCAGGTGGCGGGCCTCCCTGGCCTCGTCTTCCATGCATTGCATTCCACAACGCAATCGCATGTTACCATTTGCATCGGACCCACCACCCCGACCCTGGGCCCCTTCGGCCCAATCACGACATTTACGCGTGCCCGTCGAGTGGAGCTAGCAGCCAGTTCGGTTGTGCTGATTCCTGTCATTTCACTTCTGATTGTGTTTTCCGCGCATCTAAGGCTGCACAAGGCCCTTATTCGCATCTTGGACGGCCCGCGCGGCCACTGGAGTCCGTCGGGCATGAATAAGACCACAGATACTGATAGCACGAGTCCTATAGCAACCAGGGGCAGCAGTAGGAGGCCTCTTGGGACAGGCCCCACTCCCTCGATTGGGCAGCAGTGCCATCAGGGCGCCTAAGCCAGGATCCCCTGCTCTTAGCGATGCTAAGAGGCATCAAGAAGGCGCTGGCCGCCCGGCGCGGCGCGGCTGGCGCCGCTGCAGCGGCGCTCGACGCCAGCAGGCACACAGAGCGCAGCGCTGCGCCGAGCGAAGGCACCGTCCATCTGTTTGCCCTGGACGAGGTCAATGGTGACCCCAGCATGCGCGGCGGCCTGTATGGTGGCGTGGAGGGCCACTTTATAGACCAGGCGGCCGAACAGGCTGCCGCGCTCGCCGGCATCGCTGCCGACAGTGCGCGCCAACGACCGCGCGGTGCCGCCGCGCAGCAGCAGCAACAGCATCAGCAGCAGCTGCTGCGCCCGCAGCCCGCCGCCGACGACAGCGTACGGCAGCGGCAGGCCGCCGCGGCCGAGCGCCGCGCCGGCCGGCTCGACCCGCGGACGGCGGCCTATCAGGTGTCGGTACTGCTGTCCCTCTCGACCTATTTCGAGCACAAACTGCAGGCTGACACCCTCCGCGCCGCCGACGCGCTCCGCGCCGACGACCCCGGCCTCGCCCCCGCCTCCCCGCCCGACGGCGACGCCGACGCGGAC